AGGGGCTGGTGTTTCAAGGGTAATATGTATGGCTCCCACATTTCGCATAGCCCGAAAAAGTGGAAATTTAACTAAGGTTTCTTCTTCTTCCAAAATCGGACCAATTTATTGGGAAAATCAATAAAGAAAGATAATGGGTAGATTGAAATACCAACCTTAAAAAAACCTCACTAATAAAGCATGAGTGGTTTTAATCATTCGATGTCATGTACAGAAATTTGTAGTAAGTTAGAGTTCTGATCTTCTACGAGCACAGCGCTTCAGGGACAAATTAAATCTAAAATTTTGATTATTCAATCGACGCAACTATTGCTTCACTGTACCTTTAATTTTTCTACGTTTGCTCCTTAATCGTAGGTCCTAGGGCCACATTTTGTGCTTGAATATTCTTAATGACGATTTATTTTACATTTCAACTGTTATTAGATTGGGTGTGCAAGGACGTTCGAAAACTCAGAGGCCATCGAAATCATCACCTTTTGCCTGCTGCACCCCAATTATGCGTGAGTAAAATGGAGACAGTCTTATTTTTATTTACTTTTCGTTGACTGCCTGTCCTTTGTTTAAAACAAACAAGCATTATGCCCTCTAGTTGCTAAGCTTGCTGATTTGTTGACTTAGCAGTCTTTAATTTCCTCGTCCTCTTAGGCCGTTGAAGTAAGGCGTTATGTTTGAAAAAAGGGTTAAGCTAAAAATATTGCACTACAGTTAATCACTGACTTCGAAATCTTCTGAAGGTTGTCTTTGTGTTATGACACATCATCTCCCCAGTTGCCTGACCCAAAGAAAAGTCTTGTGTGATGACATATCTACTATTCTTTTGTTTACTATAATACAGTGCGGGCTTCAAACTTTCCTTTAAATGTACATATTTCAAATATATGCGAATTCTTCTCTATGGCTCTGAAATAGATAATTTCAAAAGTAGAGTGCCAAACTCAAATTCCATCGCGCTTATATATTCGTTTTCAATTCTATAGAGGCTTCGAGGATATCATCATCTTGGTTGCTTGTTCATTATAGGTGATATTTACCAGCCCTTCGTCCCGCAAAATTTCTATTTGCTGAAATCAACTAAAAAAATTGCAGAACAGTTGGCTTGGTTATTAAATGCCATTTTTTCTATTTACATTGTAGCTGAACTCTTTGGGTTTGTTGGAGGGATAGGTGTTCTTTTCATTTTTTTGCCTTAGTGCCTTTTTTAACCAATAATTCTCACATATAACTTGGTCTGGCATTTTTCAATGCCTCTAATTTCGTTTTCTTTGGTGTTGCATTAAGCGACCTTACCCCCTGAAGAAGTCTTTCAATCTTGCACAACTTCTCCTGTTCAACCTTGTTCTTTCGCATTAATTGGGTTGCAGTTTCCCTGCTTTGTTTTCTTTCTGATGCGTTACCAGCTACATTGTTCCTTTACTTTTGCGCGCTTCAACCCTTCACGTGACTTTGCAGGACAAAGGCATTGGCACTGGATCTCCTGTCCGCCGTTTGCCTAATTGAAGGCGGTCACGCCCGCGTTCTCAGAGCTTTCGATCATCTTCGCCGTACTATTGGAGAGAACGCCTGCTTTGAGACTCTGGTGCGCGACTTCGTTGTACACGAAAACTTGTCCATGGAACAGTACAACCTGGAATACTCGGTCAGTAATTTAGTGTACTGTCCCATTCGCTTCGTTTGCTCTCAGTGAGTAATTAGTACGACTTTCTAGCACTGCTTAGGGTCTCTCTACCATTTAGCACTTAAAGCACTGTTCAAACCACAAATTATATAATTGTTGGCTTTGCGTCGTCAAGGCGTTTATAGTACCACTGGCTTTTAATTACCGAATACTTTTCGACCTAACCTGCCGTTGCATTTGCATCTAGGGTATCCAATCTACAGACTGTATACGTTCCGTCTAGAGAAAAATCACACATTTCGTTACGCTACTAAGAAGATGTCACACAGCGTTCATAACATTTTGCAGAGGATGTGGACCGTGTTATATACTTTATAAGCAGCATTCTTGGGTGGACAGATACACTACTCTAGGAATGGAAATACCACGGTCTGAAAATGTGCCCTAATTGGGGACTTCTGAAGCCCGAGAAATCTTACTTCCTTAAGTACTTACGAAACGAGTACAAGGAAGCATATTTTCGTGCTTGTTTTCTGTAAAATATATTTAAATTTACCAGGACATCGGAAATCAATGAGAAAACGCATACAACTTAAGTAATAATTTTTGTTAAGTGCAGTTTTGGCAGGGGGCCAGAAAGAAGGTCGTTCAAAAGCCGGCACCCAAACGTGACTGAAATACCTCGGGGTTATGCTGCGCATTAATGATTACAACAACCCTACCTGAGTAATCTTCTCGAAACGAATACCCGTTACAGAATTTTGGTTGACATTTTATCAATTCTACTGTATGTGCCACCCTCTATATCAGACTGTGTTGGCAGACTGAGTAAGCCCAACAAACTGACTGTATATCAGTTAGGATTTATTATTTAAAAAAATGAAAACAACCGGAGGTAACACATGTTTAAATTCTGCCATTGAATCACGAAACTCAGGTCAGCGCCCCCTCTCGTTCAAGCTCCATGTAGTCCCATAAACTTTGTGTGCCTGCATAATCAGTACTACTTTGGCTGTAAGTTCTTGATTTTTCCTACTGTACGAAGCTGTTGAACAAAAATATAGTCATTGTCGTCCATTAGTTTACGTGATGATTGCGCATTTGGCATTAAACGCACCCCTATCTTTCCTTTTGCTGCCTCTCTCTCTCTTGTTGGGCTTGGACTTTTGCGCGAACGTCATGTACGTCCAAGTCATACTAAACTTTGTATGGTCAATTTGTTTTTTTTTAAATTGCAGGTGGCTTGCATTCAATTCATCAACATTATTGTGCACTCGCCGGAAAATATCAACCTCCGGGTTTATTTGCAGTATGGTTTCCAGCTTCTAGGACTGGAGGACTTTCTCACGGTGAGTCATCTTTAGTGTTGTGGAAACGATTTCTGTGAAGCGGAATGGCAGCACTAACTCATGCTATGCGCTAGGTGGTCTAGACGTATCCCGACGCACTACAAGTCGTGACCTGCAAAATTGCCAGCTGACGGCATACCTTGATCCTTCCTATTTATAGCCGGATTTCGACTAAAACATTGCAATCGGGCGTTTAATCCGTTTATCATATTAGGCAACAGGGCACTAGTTATAATTATCAATGTCAATTTATCTCAGAAAGTTAGCTCTCTGTCCTCATCTATCGATTGGCGCCCTCATAAGCCTTTTTCATATTCCCACTTGCCGTAGCGGAGGTTTTTAAAGCCACTGCGTTCTTCTCCCATTTTACAGACGTTACAGTCACGTCCGGGCGACAAAGTGAACCGTCACGTGGATGCTTATATGACTAATCGTGTCAATTGCTCCCTTCTCCTCGACGACGCCGAAGCTAAGGAAGCTGCCATGGAAGAGGTCAGTCGCCTGGAGGCTGCATTGGAAGCTTCCGAAACATCTGCTCGTCAGGCTGCCGCTTCTTTTAAGGTAAATGAATTTTGCCCCTCTAGAGCGCGTGTTGCCTTCCTAAAGGTGGTTTTAATCGAAAGTATACAAACAGTCATAGATGTTGTACATGCCTTAATGTGACTCACGTTGCGGCGCTTTTTTGATGTATACCTTAATTCGTGGGTCGAAATCTCTTT